ATTCCAAAGGACTGATAATAAAAAAATACCATCCACCTCCAGAGAGACAACTGATGAACCCTGAATGAAGATTGAAACATTTTTTTCACTTTCTTTTCTTTTCTTTTTTGCAACATGGCTAGTATAGAAATATGCTTTGCATGACTTCTCATGTATAAAGGGTATCAAATTGCTTGCCTTCTCAATGGGTGGAGGAGGGGCTGGAGGGAGGGAGAGAATTTGGAACTCAAAAACATTTTAAAATTTAATGTTAAATAATTAAAAGAAAAACCACTGCAACACTGCTCCTGATGTGATCTGACCGCACAGAAGAAAATGGAACAATTTGTATGCCCACTTTGTTCTGGAGACTGCAGTTCTATTAATGCAGCCTAACAACACTGACTGCCTTGTCAACTTTTTTGAGAGCCTGTAGTCAATTCACACCCCTCGCTGTAAAATTTAGGACCTATTTATACACTCTCCCAGATACCCTATATCAAGACCATGACCTGGCTTTTCATAATAATAGCTAGCATTTATATAGCACCTACTATGTGCCAGGCACTGTGCTAAGCACTTCATAAATATCCCAACTGATTCTCACCACAACCTTAAGAAGTAGGTGCTGTTATCATCCCTATTTTACACATGAAGAAACTGAGGCAAACGGACTTGTATGACCAAGATCATACAACTAGTAAGTGTCTGAGGCTGGATTTGAACTCAGGTTTTCTTGATTCCAAGATCAGTGTTCAAAAAATCATTTTCATGAGTACTTTATGGAAGAAAAATGGCTAACAATAGTTTGTATGAAACTGAAGGTTTTAGGGAATTGTTTGATTAGACAACAGTGGGACATAGTAGCCAAAAAGAACTAAGATCTTTGACAGCATTTAGATGGGCATACTGTCCCAGGTGAAGGAGCCAGTAGTCCCATTATCCACTATACTTCCTAACTTCCCCTTTTCATCCCAGTCCATCAGCGATACTACCCTTCTTCCCAGTGACCTGGGTTCAGAACTCTTCCTTCGTCTCTGACTTTTCCCTCCCTGTTATACATTGAGCTACCCTGATTAATTGAATCTTCCTCCAAAATGGTCTTCCATCCATCTTCCATTTCCCTGCCACCACCCTTATCTTGATCGCTTACCAACCTCATATGTAGAAGTGACACAACAGCTTCTTCCTACCTCCGTTCTTCATAAGATCGTAGATATCAGACTGGGAGGAGTCTCAGGGTCATGAAGTCTAATATCCCCATTTTACAGATGCTGGAACTGAGGGCCAGAGAGTTGAAGTGATTCCAGCCTCCCCCTCACAAATACTAGCTAATGCACATTCCTAGCCATTTTGAGAATGGTTTAAAAAAAATTTTTTTTGTCTTGAAAAAGGAAGTAGACTACATTTTCAGGAGTGAATCATTCCTATAGTAAGGTTAAAACATTTGGCCATAACCTAGAGGCAGCAAGGTGGTGCCGTGGGTAGAGCGTAGGATTTCAAGTCAGGAAGGCTTGAGTTCAAACTTATCCTCAGACAACTCCTAGCTGTGTGAGACTGGGCAAGTCACTTAACTTCTGTCTACCTCCTCCTCCATTTTCTGATTTGTAAAATGAGGATAGTAATAGTACCGACTCTAAGAATTATTTCAAGGATAAAATGAAATGATACTTGTGAAGTGTTGTTCAGTTGTTTTCAGTCATGTCCGACGCTTTGTGGCCTCATTTGGGGTTTTCTTGGCCATAGATAAGTGAAATGGTTTGCCATTTCCTTCTCCAGCTCATTTTACAGATGAAGAAACTGAGGCAAACAGGATTAAGTGACTTGCCCAGGGTCACATAGCTGGTAAGTGTCTGAGGCTGGATTTAAACTCAGGAAGATGAGTCTTGGCCCTGCACTCTATCACCTGTGCCACTTGCCTTGTAAAGTTATATTAATGCTAATGATATGATATATCATATATAGTATTATCCATTATTATTATTAATCAAGGCAGGGCTATTCCAATAATAAGATATTATAACTGCAGATGAAGTCTCAAGAAAGCAATAGAGGACTTTTTGAATGCTGGCCTCACGAGCCTATGTCTGTGAAGTGACAATAAATATACCTCCAAAAGGCTTGAGTTTAATTATAGAGTTCAAAGTAGAACTCAAGGGACAAAAAAGACCAAACCGTCCAAAAAACTAAAAGCAAGACAAGGTACAATGTAAACAACAAAGAGCTAGGCATTTGGAGTCAGCAGATGCGGTTTCAAATCCCAGTTCTGATATTTACTATTTGTATAATGACGACAGATCACTTAATCTCTCTGGGCCTCAGTGCCTTACCTATAAAATCAATGGATTAGACTAAATGACCTCCAATGTCCCTTATACCTCTAGCTCTTTTATGCTATGGGACCTGTAAAGAGCAGCAAGGGACCGTTGTGAAGGGAAGTTATCTGAGGCCCTCTTTATACTACATTGAGTTGAGTTGCTTCTCCTGAAGGGCCAGGAAATACAGGCCTTATGGCACTTTGTGAATGAGAGGTAAGTAAAAAAAAAAGGAAATCAAAGGAACCAAGAAAGAATGTGCCAAGTAAATTAGTCATTGATTCAGCCATTCCCTGATCCAAAGGCAGGGGCCCATAGTAGATGCACCCTTAAGGTCTTTGTGATTCTGTGATAAGCTTCCAGAAGGCTAGTCAGCTCAAGTTATACTGCACCTTGAAACCCACACATGGAGACATTTAAACATGTCTTTTGTGGTCATATTATCTTACTAGTTGAAAAGGACTGATGACTCAAGACAAGAGAAGATTTGATACAGAGGAAAAGGATCAAACTTTCCACTGGGGCAACCTTCAATGATTCTTCTAATAGAAATGCTAATCAATCAACAAGTATTTATTAAACCTTTACTATGTGCCAGGCACTGTGCTAAGCACCAAGGATATAGATGGAGGGGGAGAAAAACCAAAAACAGCCCTTGCCCTTAAGGAGTTTACATTCTAATGAGGGAAACAACATATACATATATTTTGTTGTTGAGTCATTTCAGTCTCTGTTCAACTCTTTGTGACCCCATTTGGGGTTTTCTTGGCAAAGATACCGGAGTGGTTTGATATTTCCTTCTCCAACTCATTTTACAGATGAGCAAGCTGAGGCAAGGAAGGTTAAATGACTTGCATAGGGTCACGCAGCTAGTAAGTGTCTGAAGCCAGATTTGAACTCAGGATTCCAAGCCCAGTGCTCTATCCACTTTACAACCTAGCTATTCATATTCATGTAAGTCTATAGTTAAATGACTAATGAAGGGAATTGGAATCCCACCAAGCAAGGATTCCCAGTTTTTCAGGAATAGAGTGCCAAGTTGCTGACCTGGGTTCTTTTTCTGTTTCATATTGGATCAAGAACGGTCACACACTTCAACAGTATCCATCAAAAAGAGCTTCTCTACACATTCCTTGATTAGTGATTCATTTCAATTCACAAATATCTCTTTTTAAATGAAAATGCAGCTTAAAGAAAGACCAGTCCATAATTATTTTGTGAATTATTTTGATCAGAGAATTGAACTTTTTCTCACAACAGAGAAATTAAACTCGGAGAACAGTAAATTGATTTGGGACACATTGGGAGCAGGGCATACTTTGCAGATAGCAGAACTTTGTGGTACTAAAGATTGTGTAGGGAAACCTTTGGAAAACCATGGGACACCCTAAGGGCACTAGGCATCTCAGGTACCTAGGCAGAGAGGGTTTGAGAATGGAGAAGGATGCTGAAAGGGAAAGTATACAGACAAGCTGCCTACTCTGTAGTATGGCCAAAGGCAGTGGTGTAGGCATTCAGCCTTAGTGCACAAAAGAATTGTGTAGAATCCAGATATTTAAGGGTAAAAAAAACTCACCAACCTTTTGAAGATTAGATTTTTCAGATGTTTAACTACTACAGCTGCTGCATATATATATATATATATGTGTGTGTGTGTGTGTGTGTGTGTATACACACATGTATCATATACATATACACATACACATACACATACACATATATAATGCTGTGGTGTTTCTCAACTATGTTAGGTACTGAGAAGGACTTAAAGGTAAAGTAAGACCCTGCCTTAAATTAGATTACATGTCTTGTAGAGGGTAAAAGTACAGTAATATAGGAAGGGCTAAAGAGAATATCCTGGAAGATTTGAGAAGGGAAGAATCACTTCTGGCTTAGAAGAAGAATGATTCTGGGGAAGGCATAATGGAGAAGGGAACATCAAGATATGGTATGGTGCAGTAGAAAGGCTGCTGGATTTGGAGTCAGAAGACTTGGGGTCTAATCCCAGCCTTAATACTTCATTTGTGAACTTGAGGAAGTCACATCCTTTCTAGGCCTTAATTTTCTCATCTGTAAGATGAGAGAGTTGGACTAGATGGCTTGGAAAGGACCCTTCCAACCCAAAGTCTGTGAACCAAGGCTGGGCCTTGATAAGAATTTTGACTCAACAATGAAGGGAGGGAAGCTCTACAGAGTATCCATCTAACAGAGGCAGCTAGGTAGCTCAGTGGATAGAGCTGGGCTTAGAGTCAGGAAGACCTGAATTCTAATCTGGTCTCAGATTCTTTAGCTGTGTAACCTTGGGCAAGTCACTTAACCTCTCTCCCTCAGTTGCCCCAACTGGAGGGCTGTTGTGAGAATCAAATGAGATAGTATTTGCAAGGTATTAGCACAGTGCCTGGCACATAGTGAATACTATATAAATGCTTATTTCCTTCCCTTTCCCTTCTCTCCCAATATGTTAGAATCCAGGCAATCAACATTCTTCATCCACTTGAGCTTGTGTGGATAGACTGGCTAAACTTTTTTGAGTGATTACAGACCTCTTCCAGGACGCTCTTATGATATTTCAGAAATCACAAGATATTATGCAATCAGCACAATGTTATCTGTAAACAGCAGCATCTGGAAGACCTAACCATCCACAGGGAATCCCTGCTTAACATGGGCTCTGTGCTGGATCTCTGCCTTCATAGTAGCACATACCTTTGGTGAGCAGACATCTCCCTGTTTTGTCCCCAAAAAGTCATTGAACAACATTCTTTCTGTTGTTACATCTTCCAAGGAATCCTAAATGATCTTGGTGTATAAGTGGGAGACATCTTGCTGTAAAAAACAAAAAAATAAAAAATAAAAACTATAAGATAGTGTTTTGTCCCACCAAATCAAATGCTGTTTTTATCATCAACAGACCATAAGTACAATGGGATCTTATATTCTTTACACCTTTCAGCTGATTTTGAGATGGCAAAGATGAGGTCCATTGGTGCATGTCTCTTGAGAAAACCTAATCAGTCCCTGCTAATGTCTTCATTGAGTATTCCCGTAATTTATGTATAGGTGATACTTATAAAGATTTCATATATATGAGAGAGTGGACACATGACGGGGAGTACTTAACTGCTATTTTCTTAGTCATCTTTTTCATTATTCACCAGGTCTGAGACTTTTCCCACTCCTGTTGTATCTTCTCCTCCATCAGACACCTTGTACATCTTACCTCAATGTCCTCACAATTGCTTTGCCTCCAGCAAGGATCTTCTCTATATGTAGTTGGTCCAATCTAACTGCTTTCCTGACTTGGTTCTATTTAGTGTTATTTGTACTTCCTCTTTATGCACCTCATGGACTGAAATATAGAAGAGAATAAGATTAATTCCAACAGAGACTTTTGTAATTATCTAGTCCAACTCCCTAATTTTTGTGGATGGGGAAACTGAGACTCACAAAGGTTAAATGACTTGTCTAGAATCACACTGTAAGTAGCAGAGGTAGAATTTGAACCTAGGTCAACCAGAAGCAGGGATCTTGTTCCTATACCATAAGACTTTTCACTATTTGAATAGGAGGTGAGGTAATGTTCGGCTTCAACTACAAATTCCCAACCCATATTAATTATCTCTCCTATGATTAAGATTTCAAGCCTGACTGTTAACATGCTGATGTCTGTAAGAAACTCACTTCATAGCTAAATGAACTTAGTGTTGGGTGTTTGACTTTTCTTTTTTTGTTTTACAAAGATCAGATTTAAAAAATTCTTCTACCTTTGTGCACCAGGTTGGACTTGACCCCATTTACCCACACCACTCAGGCCTTAGTTCCTTCTCTCCCCCACCTGCTTCTTTTTCCATCAGGTGATTTTCATGTACTTGCTGTCCAGAGGTCCACGAGTTGACATCTAGGAGAGTTTGCATGTTACAATTCTGCTTTACATGTGGGTTTGCATTTGCATATAATTTAGTCTCTCTTGTCTAGCCACATGATAGATACTGAAACCTTCTTGGCTTTCAGGTCTGGTTAATGAAAGAAAAAACACAAACTTTGTGGATCATAAAGGATATGTGGTTATCAGAGAGTTGCTGATGGATGATTCACAGCAGTGGACATTGGGCCATCAGCCTAAAAAAAATTCCCACAAAGGGCACGGGTAATGTCATCAATGATAATCTATGTTGGGGCTGCTCTGCAAACCCTGAGAGATTTTAACATGCCTTCAGCTAGCCTTAGTTCCTAAGACACCAGGTTTTAGAGAAGCCAAAAGAAGGTCAATCCTTTCCCAAAACGGTTGAAAAATATATTTTTTTCATTGCTCACCCTCTATACTCAGTGAGCATTTACTGAGTTCCTGCTATGTAGATGGTAGTAAATGCTATAGGGCGAGGGATGAGGACTAGATTTGTGATTTCATTGGTATAGGGAACTCCTGGTTGAAGAAATTCCTTCTACCAATAAGGGCTGGCCCCTTCTCTGCAGCTTGTAGTCTTAAAGAATTGCCTAGAGCAAAACTTTCCTGACTGCCAGCAAGGAACCTTCTAAAAGTATTATAAGGGAATTTCTTCTGGGGATCATAGGTCTGGTGCTGGAAGTGACCTCAGAGTTCTGCTACTCAAACCCTCTCACTTTTCAGATGAAGAAACTGGGACCCAGAGAGGTCGGGTGAATTGCCCAAGATCTTAAAGGTCAAAACCAGGATTTGAACCCAGGTCTTCTGACTCCAAATTGAGTTCTTTCCTATTAAGTAGGGATACTATTGAACATTTACCCCCATAGTGACCCTTCTTGGAGTGTGGCATATAATGGATAGATTGCTAGAGTCATTATCCTTTCCCTGATGCAGTGATTAGACTTGGAGTCTGGAGGACCTGACTCCAAGTCCTGTTGTGGACACTTACTAGATATGTGACCTTGGGCAAGACATTTAACCTCACTGAGACTCAGTTTCCTCATCTGTAAAATTAGTATAATTATAGCATCTACCTCACAGGGATAATATAAAACTCTAGAACTAGAAGGGGCTTTAAAGGTCAACTAGTTCAACTCCCAGATTTTCCAGGGGAGAAGACCGGCCTAGAGGAGTTAAATGATGTGCCCAAAGTCACATGTCAATAAGTTACAGATCCAGGATTTGAACACAGGCCCTTGACTTGAAGTGCAGTGTTCTTTCCATTGTACCATGGAGTATATAAGGGACTCTGCAAGCTTTGAAATAATAAATATAAATGATTATTAGTATTAAAAAAATTGCCTAGAGCACCAAGAAATGAAATGATTTGTGTAGGGTCATCCAGCCAATATATGTCAGTTAGACCTTCTTCTTGTCTTAAAATTGCTGTTGTAGTTGTTTAGGGCACAGTGGTTCCCAATTGCAGCCAGCACCAAGTGAGGAGCCCAGGAACTCCTAACCTCTCAAGTTCACACAGTTACTCCAAGGCTAGAGGGATCCATCTTAGGATCACTTCTCAGGTTATCTGTATTCTGGGAAAGAAATACAAAGCAGAAGAGGTGACCAGGGGCCCAAGCTTGAGCCTGCCTAGACCAAGCCTGTGCCCAAGCTGCCATGGGTGAGTAGTGAAAGTCCCAGAGAGGGAATACATTGCATGTTACATACATACACACAGCACATTATAGGGAGAGAAAGACAGGCAAGTGGAGACAGAGAACACATAAGAAAATTAACCCTCTTTTTTAGACATAGTGACCAAGGGACCATCCAGGGTTTGTGCTGTGCCATGTGAAGGGGCCAAGTCCTTCAGAGTTGAGCACGTATTCCCTTGGAGGGAGCCATCATGCAGCCTCAACACTCCATTGGAGATGAAGACCTCATCTTGGAGAAGATGGCCATTAACAGGAGACTGAGCCCAAGACCTGCCCTGATTTGTCAGAAAACATCCTCTGGAGGGAATTGTTTGGACAATGCTTGTTGCTTGTCCTTCCTTCTCAAAGAGGACCACGACATCAGGGAGGTGATGTCATGACTTGCAAGTGGATTGGATTAAAGTGAGGGAGGGCTGTGCAAAGTCACCAGCCTCGCTTTCTCCTCCAGAGCCATCCGGGCCCAGTGGTAAGACATAGATCAGCACAACTGGAGATGGCCCCACTTTGGACAATGCAGAGCTGAGGTGAAAGTGATGTGGACTCAGCAGTCTTACAAAATGGCTCATACTCTAGCCGTATCACGAGGGGGTAGGCGGAAAGAAGGACTGGCTGTTTTTTTAATGCCTTTAGACACAAATGAAGAAAAGGGGAGTGTAGAGAGGTCAAATGATTTGATTTTGGTCACATAGCTGTTAAGTGACAGGGGACTCAGACTCAGATTTCCTGTTTCCTGCCTGTAAATCTGGTGCTCTTTCTGCTTTACTACACATGAAAACAGGAAAAGCTAAATAACATATAAGTCAGCACCGGCACAATACTAAATGAATGTCTCATTGTAGAGGCACTGTAAAAGGTTCAGAGGAATGAGGGAGAGAAATAGGGGCTTCAGAGCTGTATGAAGGAAGGCTTCCTGGAAAAAGGAGCCCTAAGGGAGTTTAAGGGAAGGTGGTCACAGTGGAAGGGCATTCTGGGTGGGGAGAATTCATAAACAGAGTAAGAATGCAAGTAGAGTGGGGTCAAGTAGTAGAAGGCCTTGAATGCCAAGAAAATATTCACTTACTACCATAGATCACATAGTACCATAGGAAACACTGTAAATTGGAGCCAAAAGTACTCATTTTACCCCTTGATAAGGAAGAAAACTGATCAGCTCAAAACACAAATGTGGGAATAGAGAAACAAGGAGAATTCCAAACCACTCCCTCCCTCCCACCTTCTCTGCTTCCATCAGTTGCATTCCACACTCCCACATGCGTATTGCTGAGCACAACCACGCTGACTGGGTCCATCCATTACAGGTTGATTATGTCAACTCAACTGGGCCCTCCCTGCTGTGTGCAAATTGCTTTACTCAACAATAATAATAATTAATAATAATAGCTAACATTTATACAGTGCTTACTACGTTCCAGGCCCTAGGCTAAGCACATAACAGTCACCTCGTTTGATCCTCACAACAACCCCAAGAGATAGTGCTATTATTATCCCCATTTTACAGATGAGGAAATTGAAGCAAAACAGAGGTTAAGTGACTTGCTTAGAGTCACACAGCTAACAAGGATCTGAGATCAGATTTGAACTCAGTTCTTCCTGATTTCTGACTTGGCACTCTGTCCAAACTGACTGACTTTCTATCCCACTCCCCTCAGTTCTGTTTTAAACCTTCTCTTCTCCTTAAGCTGCCTAAGCTATTTCTTCTTCATTATGCAATTATGCCTAGATTTCCCCCCATTTTCTTGCCTTGTGTTTGCTTCTAAACTCTTTGTAATCTGCTCTTGAAGGAGTCTGGAAAGATAGGTCATACAGCTGATAAATGCAAGAGGTGAGATTTGAACCTAGGTCTTCTAGACTCAGAAATGTGTGAGGGCCAATTTGTACCAGTTTGTGAGAGCACGTTGTTAAATATTCCTCATTTTATGCTTCTGAGGTATTAATTTATGACTCAGAAACTGGAAAATACTTTGAATGCAGGACCTGATTTGTTGTTTGTTGATTGTAGTAGCCTTAAGAAAGTGATAAAGAGGGGCAGCTAGGTGGCGAAGTGGATAGAGCACCGGCCCTGAAGTCAGGAGGACCTGAGTTCAAATCCGGCCTCAGACCAAACACTTGACCCTTACTAGCTGTGTGACCCTGGGCAAGTCACTTAACCCCAATTGCCTTAAAAAAAAAAGAAAGTGATAGAGAAAATGTTACCAATGTGGATTATACTTAAAAGTGTCCTGCATACATTTTTTTATCAGAGAGCTGGTTGTTAAACTTTTACCAGCACACCCTTGACTTCAATCTCAACAGTATATCCACTGAACTTTGATAATTCTCCCACCATTACTATGGAAAAGAAATCTCAGTAGAAGCTGGAAAGACTGTTGCAGATTTGCCTTGACTTAGAGAAAAAACGCATAAATGTGTGGGATTAATTTCTTAAGAATTTGTCTTTGAAAGCTGTGAAAAACAAATTTAGGTGTAGCCAAATGTTTCTCCAATGGCATTTCACGCCTGTCGGGAAAAGAGAAGGTCACAAAAGTTCCTGCCAAGGTGAAACAGATTGGGGAAGCACTGGGGAAATGGTGGGACCTGGGTGTGGGTGTACAGGTTCTAGAATTTTAATTTCTTTTTTTTTGCCTTTGAGAGTCACTTCCTGTTTAGTCACAGAGAGAAAAGGGAAGCATAGCATCGAGAGAGGCCCCCTACTTGATAGGTGGGTACACATCAGCTGAATTTGGGGGGTTGGCTCCTAATATTGCTAGTTCTGCAACCCATGCCTCCCATATGCTATGGCCATGAAGACCTGTAGGAAAACCAGTCCATGGAGGTGAGATGGACCCTGGAGCCAGAGGTGAGGACCAGCACATGGACAGCCCAGCTCCAGAGGAAAAACCAATCAGAATGAGATTCTTCAGATCTGGGTTTAGAGACTGGTAGCTCTTGAGTATCCTATGGTCAGTGAGCCAGGAGTAGGGAGAACCATTTGATCTTCATACCACCTTGGGAGGACAAGGGAGAGGAGGGTACTAGGATATGGGTGGGTTGAAGCATCTCATGTTGAAAATGCATAACAAATTTCCTTGCACTCTTGTTATGCCTAATAAATCATATGGCTACGTTAACTTGCGTGACTGTATCCTATACATACGTGGGTGTCATTGATTGAAGGGAAATTCCAGATTGAGTCTGAAGGAGTAGCCATGTATTTTCCTTGCATTTTTTAATAATTTGGAGCTGCATTTCCTCATCCCCTAGGCCTGACACAGAAT